ATTGCCTGCGTGTAGGTAAGTGCACCCGTGTCGTGCAGTGCCCACGGAGGACAGAAGAGGCTGTCAGATCCCCTGGAACTGGAGTTATGGACAGTTGCCTGTGGGTGCTGGGATTCGAACCCGGGTCTTCTGTAAGAACAGCCACTGTTCTAAACCACTGAGCCATCTCTCCAGCACTCTTTTTAATTTTTAAGAATGTATTTTATGTATATGACTATGTTGCCTGCATACATGTAAGTACACCTTGTACGTAACAGTGCCCACGCAGGCCAGAAGAAGGTGTCAGGTCTGGAACTGGAGTTACGGATAGTTGGTAGGTGCCATGGGGGTGCTGAGAACCAAACCTGAGTCCTCTGCAAGAGCAATCAGTGCTCTTAACTGCTGAATCATCTCTCCAGCTCCATATTTTATAATGTTTCTTTATTATTTTTATTTTATGTGTATGCGTGTATTGCCTGCATGTAGGTAAGTGCACCCATGTCATGCAATGCCTGCGGAGGTCAGAAGAGGCTCTCGGATCTCCTGGGACTGGAGTTATGGACAGTTGTTAGCTGCCATGTGGGTGCTGGGATTCGAACCCAGGTCTTCTGCAAGAACAACCAGTGTTCTTAACCACTGAGCCATCTCTCCAGCCCCCATATTTTATAATTTTCAATGTACAAGCTTTTCATCTTGGTTAATTCCTGAGTGTTTTGCTTATTTGTGTTTTTTCTTTTTCTTTCTTTTTTTTTTTTGTAGCCCCTTGGGCATGGGGATACCTTTATTTTCATATATTCAAGTTTTTTTTTTTTTTGTGTGTGTGTGTGTGTGTGTATGTTATTTTTTATTTTAGTTTATTTTAGGTTTTTGAGACAAGGTCTCTCTGTAGCCCCAGCTGGCCTGGAACACTCTATGTAGACCAGGCTGTCTTTGCTCTCACAGAGATCCACCTGCCTCCACCTCATGAATGCTGGGACTAAAGGCATGTGCCATCATGCCTGGTCTATGTAATTTTTAGTGAGATTCATAGTATTTTCTTTTTCTTTTTTTAACCAGAGAGGAATTGTTAAGAAAAAGAAAGAACTGGGGGCTGGAGAGATGGCTCAGTGGTTAAGAACACTGGTTGTCCGACAGCCTCTTCTGTCCTCCACAGGCACTGCATGACACGGGTGCACTTACCTACATGCAGGCAATACACGCATACACATGAAAATAATAATTTTTTTTAAGTTAAAAAAATTATTTTAAGAAAAGAAAAAGAGCCAGGCGTGGTGGTGCATGCCTGTAGTCCCAGCACTTGGGAGGCAGAGGCAGGCGGATTTCTGTGAGTTCAAGGCCAGCCTGGTCTACATAGTGAGTTCCAGGACAGCTGGAGCTACAGGGAGACGCTGTCTCAAAAAGACAAAAAAAAAAAAAAAAAAAAAAAAAAAAAAGAAAAAGAAGAAAAAGAAAGAACTGCTGAGATTGGGAGGGATTCCAAGGGAGGAGTACCCTGTTTTCTTAATTTCCTTCTCATATTCCTGATTCTTAGTGTATATAAATATAGATGAGTTTTATGGGGTTGGGGATTTAGCTCAGTGGTAGAGCACTTGCCTAGCAAGCACAAGGCCCTGGGTTTGGTCCTCAGCTCTGGGGGGAAAAAAAAAGACAAAATAAATATAGATGAGTTTTATATGTTGATTCTTGGCTTCTGCAAGATTACTGAATTTATATATTCCTTCTAAGTATTTAGGGGTATTTCTTTGTTTGCTGTAGGATTTTCTTTATAGATCATGCCATCTCTAAAGAGAGATAGTTTTGCTTTTTCCTTTCCAGCTTAGGTGTCTTTAGTGCCATTGTTGTTGCCTAGTGCTTCTAGGTTTTCTAGTTTTGTGGGATGGAAATGGTGAAAAGGTTTCCTATCAACTGCTGTTTCTGCATTTGTCATGGCTATGGCATTTAGTCACTTCACTAATGTTGGCTACTTTGTACATTAATTATTCTAGTCACACCTGGAAAAGTAGTTACTTTTGACTACTAAAAAAATTTGTTTTGAAGATTTATGAAAGTTTACAAGGATATCATTTGGGTAAGGTGGGATCTTAGTGGCATTGAGTTGTTCTAAGACATGCTGTTTTACACTTGCTGCATTGTGCTTGATATTAAGCAGTTCAAAGTAACATTGTAATTGACATTAACAATTAGGAAATCTCTCATTGTTCTGTTTATTGATCATGAGTCTTATTTACTACTTGATTAAATTTGGTCCTAGAAAACCACTTGCACATTTCCAAATGTTCTTTTGGTATAACCATAGAATGAGCTCAGTTCTCCTAATTAACAAGTTGTAACAACCTACACAAAACATTGTCTGCCACTGGGCAGTCATGGTGGCACACATCTTAACTCCAATCACTCTGGAGGCAGCAGGAGGCAGTTCACTTGTGAGATCATGATCAGCCTGGTCTACATAGTAAGTTCCAGGCTGGGTGGGACTACCAAAAAAACCCAAAAAACAAACTATATATATATATTACATAGGTATATATATCATCTGCCAAGGAAACTCATTAGAGACTCCTGTTCTCAGCACATCACGGAGGATGATGTTGATCCTCATCTAGGCATTGCTGTAAGAATGGAACAAAGTAGGAGACATTCAGAAGAAAAACAGGAGTTTGGTAACTATTATATAATTTGGATGAACTTTTTAGGTGCTCTTAGTCATTCTTAACATAGGTTTTTGGAAAATCCCTCCCAAACCCTAAGTTCCATGATATACCAGCAAAGATCAAACTTTGTGAGCATTTACTTCTAACAATGATAACTATCACAGTGTTAATATTAACATCATTTGTAGAGCTGATAGTAGGACTTTGTTAGTGACACATTAGAGTACATTAGAGTACAGGTACTCCTCAAAGAAAAATTAAGGGTAATCAAGAAGTACATCTTAATATCTGGATTTACCAAAGAAAAGACTATTTTTACTCTGCTGGGTTGCTGGGGTTTTTTAGTATCTTAATTATAATATTAGTACATCTGTATGTGAGCAAGTGAATACATAGAGTAAAATTTTAGATGACCAAGTCATGTCATAAATTTTGGAAATCACAAAATCATGTGAATATCTTATATATAGTGTATAGAATCCAGGTGTTAATAAATCTTACCCAGCCTCCAATGTACCTTATGGGATGTTTTAGAACTCAGTGGCCTTTGACGATGTAGCTATAAGCTTCACCCAGGAAGAATGGGCTATGCTGGATACTTCACAGAAGAATCTCTACACAGATGTGATGCAAGAAGTCTTTAGGAACCTAACTTCTATAGGTAAGAATATTCCTTTACTTAAATAGAAAACACTGATTCTTCTTCCTCCTTTCCTATCTCCCTCCCTCCCTCCCTTCCAGAATTTGGAAAGGACTCCTTTTGTGGCTAAATGGCATGATTTTCACTACAGTGAAGCTCAAAGCTGATGTTAATTTTTTGAAATTCATAATTAATGGTGTTTCTCCTGGGTCTCTATTTTAGAAAATGAGTGGGAAGACCAGAACATTGAAGATAAGGACAAAAGTCCTGACGTACATCTAAGGTAATTTGTCTTCACAAGGGAATACAATGTTTCTTGAGGGCAGCTTGGCATGCTATATAAATTTTAAACAAACCAAACAAGCACAGCTTTAAACATGTTAATAGCAATTTTATACACACATACACACACACACACACACACACACACACACACACACACACTTCAGTATAACACAGAGTTCAGTGTTTTCAAAATAGTTTACTTCCACATAGTACTAAGAAACTGGACACCACTGTTTTGATAATAGTGAGGAAGCCATGTTTGAGATCAGTCCATTTTCTTTCTAATAATTAAGAAATGCCAAAAAACTTGGGCTTTCTCTATTGGTTGTGATGTAAATCCAGATTTATTAATAAATAGAAAATCTATAATAAACTAGCCATTAATAATGTGTTTGTCTATTTGTATAGAAGTCATATGATAAATTCCATAAAAATAAAGACTATATTGGGAGGCAGAGGCAGGCAGATCTCTGAGTTCAAGGCCAGCCTGGTTTACATAGTGAGTTCCAGGCCATCTGGGGCTTCAGGGGGACCCTGTCTCAAAAAGACCAAAAAAATAAAAATATTAAAAAAAAAAAAAGACAATAAAAATAAATGTAGGCAAACTTTCAGTTAGATTCCGAATCTTAATCTGAAAAATAATTTTTTACTTTAATTAATTAATTTTATTGTTTCTGTCTTTCTTTGAGACAGGGTCTCACTATGTAGCCCTGGCTGGTCTGGAACTCACTATTGTAGACCAGGCTGGCCTTGAACTCAGAGATCCACCTGTCTCTGCCTCTTGAGTGCTAGGATTAAAGGTGTGTGCCACCAGTCCTGGTCTGAAAAAGAAAATTTTTAGTAGAGAGAAAAACCATCTGAATGTGGTTTATGTGTAAAAGTCTTCATATTTTCATTCCTTGATAGGCACATCATAACGGACTCTGGATACAACCTGTACGAAAGTGAAGAATATTCAGAGAAGCCATGTAAAATTACACAATATAGGAACTCCTTCATTTCTCTCATGAGTGTTCAAAGACATATGATAATGGACACTGGAAGTAAACCTTATAAGTGTATGATATGTGGGAAAGCCTTTCATTTCCCCAGTGAATTTAGAATACATCTAAGAACTCATACAGGAGAGAAGCCTTATGAATGCAAACAATGTGGTAAAGCTTTCAGTCATTCTAGTTCCTTTCGAAAACATGAGAGAACACATACAGGAGAAAGGCCCTATGTATGTAAACAATGTGGTAAAGCCTTTAATTGTTCTGGTTCCATCCGCAAACATGAAAGAACTCATACTGGAGAGAAGCCCTATGAATGTAAACAGTGTGGAAAATCCTTCAATTGTCCCAGTTATCTTCAGATTCACGAAAGAAGTCACACTGGAGAGAAGCCCTATGAATGTAAACAATGTGGTAAAACATTCAGTTGTTCTAGTTCCCTTCGAAAACATGAAAGAACTCATACTGGAGAGAAACCCTATGAATGTAAACAGTGTGGTAAAGCTTTCAGTTGTTCCAGTTCCTTTCGAAAGCATGAACGAACTCATACTGGGGAGAAGCCCTATGAATGCAAACAATGTGGTAAGGCCTTCTTTTCTCTCACAAGTGTTCGAACACACATGATAAAGCACACTGGAAATGGGCCTTTTAAATGCGATGTATGTGAGGAAGTGTTTCCTTTTTCCAGTGTATTTAGAAGACATCAAATATCTCATGCTGGAGAGAAGTCCTATGAATGTAAACAATGTAGTAAATGGTTTAGTTCTTCTACTTCCCTTCAGATACATGAAAGAACTCATAATGGGGAAAAGCCCTACATATGTAAACAATGTGGTAAAGCATTCAGTTGTCTCAGTTACATTAGAAAACATGAACGAACTCATACTGGGGAAAAACCCTATCCATGTAAACAATGTGGTAAGTGGTTTAGTGCTTCCAGTTCTCTTCAAACACATGAACGAATTCATACTGGAGAAAAACCCTATACGTGTAAACAGTGTGGTAGAGCATTCAGTCGTTCTACTTCCATTCGAAAACATGAACAAACTCATACTGGGGAGAAACCCTATGAATATAATGTGGAAAAGCCTTCACTTCTTCCAGTTGAAATTTGATTACTAGACGAAAGCCTTATGAATGTAAACTTTGGTAAAACCTTAATTTCTCTCACAGGTTTTTGAACACATAAAGCACATTGGAAATGGACCTTTTAAATGTAAGGTATGTGGAAAAGCCCTTCATAGTCCCACTATATTTTGAACACATCAGATAATTCATATGGAAGAGAAACGATATGAATGTAAACAGTGTGGCAAATCTTTCACTTCTTCCAGGTAGTCGCAAAACTGAAAGAGTGTGTACTGAAGAGTGGTCCTATTAATAAAAGCAATGGAGAATTTCCTTCTATTACAGTTATAAACACGAAAGAACTTGTACTGGAGAAGCTCTTTGAGTACAAATAAATGTGGCAAATCTTGACATATTCCAGTTGCCTTCAAAGAAACAAAAATACTCATTGAACAATAACCCATCAGAGTGTGTGAATGTAAGGAATATGGAAGAAAAAAGTTTCCCCATTTTTTTAGAAGGACACAAAAATGGATAATAACTAAGCATGTAAGAAAAGTGGGGAAAGCTTACAATGCCCAACTCTCTAATTATATGGAGGAACTAATACCAGATAAAACCCTATCAGTACCAATGTTGAAGAAATAATTGTTTTCAGTTTTCTTCAGACATAAGCATTCAGAGGAAAAAGCTGATAACTTCCTCAAGCAATGTGGTTAAGTTTTCAATTTTTGGAGTTTTTTAAAATTATGAAAGAAGGTGCTGGAGAGATGGCTCAGTGGTTAAGAATACTGGCTGTTCTTAAGAAAACTCAGGTTTGAATCCCAGCACCCACATGGCAGCTAACAATAACTCTAGTTCCAGGGGATCCGACAGCCTCTTCTGTCCTCCATGGGCATTGCATGACACGGTGCACTTACCTACATGCAGGCAATACACGCATACACATAAAATAAAATTTAAAAAAATTATGAAAGAACTCCAGAGAAAAGTCTGTGAGTTTAAAAAGATATCATAAGGCCTTTAGTTTTTCCATTCAAAGACATGAAAGAACTCATTTAGATAAAGACTGTTGAGTATACAGAAAGTTGGTATGCCTTCATATTTCTTATATTAAAAGGTACATGATACTGCACAGTGGAGAAGGACATACATATTACATTGACTTTTTTTTTTTTTTTTTGGTCTTTTTGAGACAGGGTCTCCTTGTAACCCCAGCTGGCCTGGAACGCACTACGTAGACCAGGCTGGCCTTGAACGCTCAAAGATCCACCTGCCTCTGCCTCCCAAGTGCTAGGACTAAAGGGGTGCGTCACCACATCTGGTATATTACATTGACTTTATGATGTGAAAACAACATTGCTTTCTGGGTGAAAGCATGGACTGTCTTTTTGTATTAGATTCAATTTTGTAGTATTTTTTGAGACTTTCTACAACTGTGTTAAGAGAAATTTGTGTATCTTGGTATAATATATAACAGTACTATCTAGTACATACAGTGTATGCATGTGTATATGTGCATCTATAGGATATACTATAGTTTGTACATTAGTAGTATATATTATATAACTTGTTTATATGTAATTAAAGTATATGTAATGAGTATTTTACTAAATAGTATTATACAACATTGGTGTATGCTATTGAAATCTTACCCATTTGTAGAATAAAGTATATCAGTGTTGTCTTCCCCCCCACCCCCACCAGCCCAAAGAATTACCCAGAACCAACCACATCATTCTGTGGGACCTAAAGAGTAACTCACATTTTACTTACTGCAAAACCTTCTTATCATCCCTATAGTTGGTTTTCTCTGCTATCAAGTGCAGTCCATATGTGGGCCTGCATAGCTTACAGTAACCTCTCCACTTGACTATGAGTGTGTATAATAATTGTTCTCGGTCTTATCTATTCAGTAATGGGTATTATGTTTAACTGTCCCCGTAGCCCTAGAGTACTAATTCCTCCCTCATTAATGGGGAAGGTATTGAAACCTTTGGCAAGAAACAGAAGGAGAAAACACCTAAGGATATCTGTTCACTTTAATTGCTCTTGGCTTACTGCTTCTGTGATACATTGAAAGACACCTGGGCCAGAACCAGTAATTGTTAATGGACTTTGGCTTTTGTCTGCACAGTACTAACTTTTTTAACCTGGTGTTCTCATCTCTTCTCCTATACAAACACACTCATCTCCTAGGCAGGAGTTGACTGTGTTCCAAATTGATATGCCACCCCCATCAAAGCATCATAAATAATTGATACTGCGCACTTGGTTACCAAGGGTCAGACTGCAACTCTGAGATCACTGAACTTAGTCTAGTCCCCACCACTGGTTACTAGGTGAACTGGTCACTGGCCATGTGAACATTATTAATGGACACTCCTGCTACAGGCCCATGGATAATCCTTTGTGAAGTTGCAGAAAAGACCACCGACCCTAAGGAGAAGTGACTCCATCTGGTTGCTTAATGAGAGTTTTTTCCTGTTTAGGCGAGAGCAATTCTTTGCTAATGCTTCTCTTGCTACTGTTATGTCTGTTGCTTCATGGTCCAGGTGGTGATAAGAAAGGAAGCATTTGATACCAATCTCTCCCAAAGTATTGGAGGAACTAACATCTATTCTCCAGTGCTAAACTCTAGCAAGTGCGTGACTGTCCTTAGCACTACTGCTTACTAGTATTGCACTGGTCTACTCTTATAAGAATAAGGTTTGGTATCCATCTGCAAAATGACCTTCCTGTCTGTGGTGCTAATCCCAGTAAGAATGAATCTTACTTTCATTATGGGTTACTGGACTCTTAAATTCTTCCTCTTAACCACGTAAATGAGTACTACTACTGGTAACCTGACGGAGACAAATACCCATGGACGCTGCAGTTTATCTGAGTAGAAATCCACAACATCCTAAGGGAAATTTGTATATTGTGCAGAATACTGTAGTTGTATAGAATGCTCAGATGGCAGATGGCTTGGCTCACCAGGACTCTTTCACAACTCTATTGGGACTGCTACAGTTGCCTTTGTCAGCTAGCCTTGTATGTGGTGCAGCAGCAAACAAGAAAGACCCTGGCCCAACAAAGTGAAAGGCCAGAACTGACTTCCAAAAGTTGGCCTCTGACCTCCACATGTGGCACGTGCTTACCTATACCAAACACACACAAATTTGAGTTTTTTCTTTTGAAGTAAAAGTAGAATAAATGTTCTTGTTATTACTTATGTTTACTCCCTAGGGGGATAGGTGTTAGTAATAGTGAGATAGATCATTTAAGGAAAATACTTTCATTATTACATTTTAAAACTTACTCATTTTCAGGTGGGGGCACATGTGCCACAATATGCATATGGAGGTCAGAGGACAACTTGTAAGGGTTGATTCTTTCCACTGTGTGGGTCCTGGGGATTGAGCTGATTGTCAGGCTTGGCAGCAAGCACCTCTACCCACTGACCCATCTGGCAAGCCCTAAAGAAAACCATATTGAAAGTGAGAGGTGGGAGCAGGAGGTTGGAGTTACCTGGCATGGTCACTGAACTGATGGTAATAGATAAGGATATATCCAGAAAAGACATCACACATACACACAAATTCTGTCCATTCCTTATATACCTGACTCTGTTTTCTGTCTTTACCAGTGTGCATTCAGAGACAGACTCTTATAATCAAAAAGTGCATTAAGAAGCCCATGGTAGATCATGTTTGTAATTCTAGCACTAAGGAGGTAAAGCCAAGGAGGATCAGATGTTCAGGGCTAGCCTTAGCTAAATAGTAGTTAGCCTGGGCTACAAGAGATTTAGCTATTTCATTTAATCCATATTTGAGTGAATAATTACCATCATGAATGATGAATTTTAAAAAATTTAAAAGAGAGGGGCTGGAGAGATGGCTCAGCAGTTAGGAGCACTGACTGCTCTTGCAGAGGACCCAGGTTTGATTCCTAGCACCCACATGGTGGCTACGAACTGTCCTTAACTCCAGTTCCAGGAGAATTCAAAGCCCTTTCTGACCTCTGCAGCATTGCATGACACGGGTGCATTCACATACATGCAGGCAATACACCCATAAAATAAAAAATAAAATATAAAAAAAATTTAAAAGAAACTACTGGAGTAATACCGGAGTGGCATATGATCTATATGCATCAAATTTGAAGATGCAGTTCCCTTAAAACAAGCTGTGCTGGGCATGGTGGCGCACACCTTTAGTCCCAGCACTCAGGAGGCAGAGGCTGACAAGTCAGTTCAAGGCCAGCCTGGTCTACATTGTGAGTTCAAGGCCAGCTGAGGCTACAGGAAGACGCTGTCTAAAAGACACAAAACAACAGCAACAAAAATGAAAAAAACAAGTTGTTGCAACAAGAGAACAAAATTTCCTATTACTCCAAAACTGAAATCAAGCTGGTGTGGTGGCAAACACCTTTACTCCAGCAGAGCCAGGGGGATCTCTGTGAGATTGGGGCCAGCCTGCTCTACATAGTTGTAGAGCAGCTGGGGCTACGGGGGGGGGGGGAGGAGGAATGGGTCAATAGATCACTAACTTAGCATAGATAAGCTGAAGTACTGCAAATACGGTGATAAAGTAGGAAGGAAGGAACTAAACAGGAGAGAAATGAATATGATTTTCATTTTAGAACTTCCTGGGAATGGAGGACAGACTCAGCACTCAGATTGCTGGGATTATGACTCCCTAATTTATAGATCTTTTAAACTCTAAAGTTAGTATTGCATTGTATATGCCCCATATGACTGCTGTGAGAATTAATGTGCATGCAGTTCTTAGTGCAGTGTTTTGTACGTAGTAAGCGCTCTCTAGTGCTATTAAAAACAGCCAAGTATATAGCTTGGTTGGTAGAGTGCTTGCCTAGCATGTACAGAACCCAGCACCATATAAACTGGGCATGGTGGTATACGGTAGTAGACACCTTCAGTGCCAGCCCTGGGGAAATAGAAGCAAGATCAGTTGAAGGTCATCCTTAGCTACATAGTGACTTCGAGGGAAACCTGAGATAAATGAGACCTGACCCCGAAACAACACAACCCTATGTATTCTATATGTTATAACTAGTATTTATTAAAAAGGGTCCCCAAAGAAAAAAATAGTAACACAATTTGTAGGTGATGTTATATATACCTGGAAAACAACAGATTTTTAAAAAAA